GCAGCATGGAGAGCCGGGCAGCTCTTCGGTCAGTCACCGGTGCCCCCGGTCCTGCACGTGCTGCCCTCCCCATGGCTCAAGAGGGAACAGCCCACGTCCTACAGGGCCAGGTGGCAGATCCTCATGGGCTCTGCGTTCTGCCCCCCGTCGCTGAAGCAGGTGCTGAAGAAGGGGCAGAGGCCGGGGGCGGCAACCTGGCGGAAGGTGTAAAGGTGGGCCATGTCCTCAGCGTTGTAGAAGGCCACCGTGCCTGCCTGGCAGTCCAGCAGCACCCCCACTTTGCGCAGGCGGCGCGGGGGGTAGAGGCGCACCCAGGGCACGGCGGCAGCCCAGTACTCTGTGCTGTTCCTCAGGCGAAGGGACCAGTAGCCGTTCTCAGGGCACAGCTTCACCTTGGCTGCCCGGTCTGCCAACTCGGCCGCTACGCCCAGGTCCCACTTGGTCTTGTTGCCCACCCACACCTCCCAGTAGTGGCTCCCGGCTGTGAAGACCTCGGACCCCAGCACGTTCACACACTTCTGGAAGCGCTTGGGGCTGCTGGGGACGGGCTGGGGGGTCCTCTGCTCCGTCACTGCCCTCAGGTTTTCAGACAGCACCAGGTTGGGGTGGGCTGTCTCGGGGTCGAAGGTCAGCGGGGCAGGAGCTAGGACGGAGGATGAGCGTTCGTCAGCGTGCCGTGCACATCAGCTCCCTTTCGCTTTGCCTTGCCCAGGCATCCCTGTCACCCCCTCGCCTCCCCCAGGGCCCTGCCCAGTGTCAGACTCACCAGGGGAGATGGATGGCAGCATCCGTCTCCAGAAGATGTACTGCAGGGGGCCGCTGTGCTGGTCTCGGAGGTGGTCGGCGTCAAAGGGAGGTGGGGCCTCTACTTGCACCAGGGGCCTGGCAGAGGGAAGGGGCTGGAGTGAGGCACGGTGCAGACAGAGTGAGTTGGGGGGTGGGCGAAGCAGGCTGAAGCCAGGACCCTGGATGTGGCGGGGGGGGGGGGGGGAAATTCCCCCCACGGGGGGGTTTTGCGGGCCACCAG